GCCTCCAGCGGCTTTCGATCTCTGCTGAAACCGCCACGGCGACGAAGGGGAGACCCCCATGTCGGGGGGTGGGGGGTGTCCCTGGTGGAAATAAATAACTATTAATTATTAATAATTAAGAGGCGTGCGAGCCCAGTGGTCTGACCCCAAGCAGCCAGACCTCGTTTCTCCAGCAGAGTGGAGGAAAACCAAGATGCCGGACGGGGAGCGGATATTTATTGCGCAGCGGCGGCTGGAGGAGAAGGAGGAGGAGGAGGAGGGTGGCAGCGGCGCAGCCGGGGCAATCGTGGTGGCTCAGGCTGGGGAATTGCGTGACCGTTAAACCGCCACGCATTTATTCTTGCAATTAGCAGGATGGAGGCAGGTGGCACCACACGCTTTTAGACTGAATTTTATACTGCATCGGCTGTGCCATCCTCGCCGTCTTCGGTGGCCGTGGTCGCTCTTAGCAGGAATCTGGAGCTCGAGTCGTTGTCATCCCTCCCCACCCCCAGATTTGGGATCCTGTCCTTTTTTAGGACGGTGGCACCTCTAGGCAGGTCCGCCATTGAATGCTGCTCAGGCTGTCGCGCTCTGGAGTTATTTTTTCCTCGTTAATCTGCTTTTCTGCGTTTTTAGCAACTGGTTGTTGTCCCTTGGGGACTGCTTGCAACCTGTGCCCCAGTTTTTCGGAGCTTTGGTTTTATCTCGTGCTTAAATTCTGCTTTATCGCGAGCAAGCCTGGCTTTGCACAGCCAGTTAACAGCAAAATCTCTGTAGCTTTGTGTTTTATTTATAAAAGATCTGTCGTTGCTTGCTCCCAAAAGCCCCGCTGCTTTTTGTTTAGCGTTGCTAGGAGCTTCTCCGTCTTTCTTGGAGATCAGACAACTTAAATGAAGACAGGCAGGATGGTTTCCAGTAATAAGCCGCTAATAAACTTAATGAGCAGCTTGGAGGCGGCTGGCCCCTCTGTCTCGGTGGGGTTCGGGCAGATATCGGGGTGCCTCAGCCGGTCTCCCCGGCTCGTGGCCAGGTTGGGATGTGAAAGCTGATCCCAAGAGGCGCCGAGGCGGAAGGGGTTTTCACGTGGGTGGGACGCAGTGGTTTGCGTTTGCAGCTGCGCTCTTCCAGGGAGCTAAAAATTGTCTGCGATTTATTAATCTTTTTTTGGCCTTGCTGCTGTTCGTCCTCCTCTGCCTGGCTCCGAAGCGCTCAGGCTGTTTTAGGGGATGGGGTTTTTTGGGGCTGGTTGGGGAAGGTTTTTTTCTGGCTTTTTTGGCGTGCCTAAAAGTAAGGGTTAAGGATAACGGGGCAGTGAGGGACGTGGTGTGGTGATGGCCTGACTTCAGTTTGGGATCACGGTATTTTCAAGCTTCAATAAAACCCCGTTTGAAATTTGCTCAGTTTTAGCAGCGGCGCCGGAGGGAATCCCCCACCATCCCTTTCCTCCTGATCCCAAATAGGAAAGATTTCCGACAGATCTCCTCTTTTCTCCTTGCAGGAGGTGCCACAGGAGCATTTGAGCTCCCTGAGGAAAGGACGCGAAGAAGCCAAGGCTGAGAGGGAGAGGCAGAGCGAAGACTTGCTGGTGAGTGCTTCGGGGTGGGATTTTCCCCAAACCTTCCCCCCC